ACACACACACACACATACACACACACACACACACACACACACACACACTCTCTCTCTCCTAGTCTAGTGGGTTACACTGCTAACCCAAAGGTGTTGCCTCTCTGGTGGTTCAAATTCACCAGCAGCTCTCCAGGACAAGATGGACAATCTCCTTCCAGGTGACTTACAGTCTCTGAAAATCCACTTGCGGATCAGTTACAAGTTGGTTCTAACTCAAGGGCAATGAATGAGTAGGTGCATAGGTTTTTGTTAGGTGCCTTCAAGCTGCATTGACTCATAGTGATCCTTATATGCCATCCTCAAAATCTCCACTGCATTTAAGCCATTCTTGCAGTCGCTGGGTCAATGTTATTTCCTTGCAGTTCTTTCTCTCTCTCCGTCAATGAGCCTCCCTTTATCAAGCATGATGTCTTCTTCCGGGTATTGGCCCCTCTTGACAATATACCCAACATAGGAAATCACACCATTCCCACTGTGAAGAAGCACTCTGGGTGTACTTCTTCATCGATCTATGTATCTATCTACACTTTTTAAATTGTTCAGCTGAGACATTTTGAAAATTAACTATCCATTACACTAACTTCTAGCTCTCATTAAGAGTTATCTCTGAAGATTTTAATTCCCAGGTCATCTTGCCTATAAATTAGGCAAATTCTCATTGCTTTGATTTGCATTCCATCCTCACAAGTGAAGGAAAATGAAGAAAAAGAAACCAACTCTCAGGCATGCACAAAAAAAGCAAGAGAGCAGTACTTGAGTTTGGGAAACTGTTGGCTTGTATAAATGCTGCCCATTGCTACTCTGCATTCAGTAGTGATTGGTGAGGTTACGATGAGGTTAAACCTGCTCTTTATTAATTCTCTGAGTAGCCAAAGAAAAGAGTAATATTATTGTCTACTTTTTTAAATTACTCCTTCTTTTGATAGTGTAGACCCATCCCTCCAGTTGTCCCTCTGACAACTCTTGAGAATATACCTCAAGGGAACTTTCAAAGAAAGACTCCCAATGAGCCAATCTCTCGGGTTCCTATGGTGGTGTTGTCAGGAAGTACCAGGCATTGCTATTATTGTAGTTGCCTCCGGTGACCTCTAAAAGACGTGAAGTGTTACAAAGTTTTCTCTTCCTACTTTTTTTTCACCCCATGCTCACTACCTCACATATCCTGTGTTCCTCTTTCTGTCTTATTACTCCATTAGGAGATTGCCTTGCACATCTGAAATTTTAGGGCAATTTGGAATGCAAACTATGCTTCCTATATCCACTGGATTTAGCTCTGAGGCAAGGCCCATGGAGTTAATCTGAAGCTTTATGGTCAGATTTTAGGAACCAACAATAGTTTCCAGACACCCTACAAGTTATCGTATCCAAATAATAGTACTTAACTTTTGTAACAACTCTTGGAAGTGTATTCTAATATTATCTTCATTCTACAATAGACAGTAGAGTGCTCTTGTGGCTTAGTCAATAGTGAATTGCCCTGGTAACCAACATCTCTGCTGGTTCAAATCCACCATAATCTCTGCAGCTGAAAGATGGACAGTCTCCTATCTTAGGCTTTGCATCCTCAGAAAACCTAGACAGAGGGTGGATTGGACTCAAAAGGACAGGGAGTTTGAGTCTGATAGTAGGTGGTATGAAGTTTAATAGAATCAACAATGGTTCTTAATATAACACATAAACAAATAATAGTGGTGTAATTTACTCCAAAATTAGAATGATCATTTGAAACCTGTGCCTTTGTGTTTATTCTCCAGAGCTGTCATAACAAAATATTACAAGCAAAAGCCTTTAAAGAGCTGAAACTTCTTTTCTCGCAGTTCTGGAGGCTATAAATCTGAATTGGTGAGTCAGGTCGGTTCCTTCGGAATGTTTTGAGAAAAGAACTGCCCCATCCATGTCTTTTTCCTAGAATCCGGTATTTGTCAGTAATCTTTGGTTTCCTCTGCTGCTTATGGAGATGTTTCTCTCTGGGGTCCCGTGGTACCTCTGTGTACTATGTCAGTTTGTCTCTCCTCCTGTTCATTCTCTATTTTTTTTATAAAACGTCACTCAGGAGGAATCAAGACCAGGACTTAAGCTACTTAATTTTTATTTAATTGGTAATAAAATTCCTGCTAGATCAATAGGTATCATGACAGATAAAGATAGAAATTGTCAATGATTTAACTTAGATTTACAATCAACAAACATGGTAGCAGCAGGCAAAAAAAATCAAAGGATATTTGTTGGGGAAATATGCTGTCAAGAACTTCTCCAAAATCCTAAAGAGCAATGATATTAATGCAAAGACTAATATATGCTTTATTCAAGCCACGGTATTTTAATTGCTTCCTATACATTGGAAAGTTGAACAGTGGAAAATAATGGCAAAAGAGGATACCTTTGAATTCTGCTATTGGAAAAGAAAATTTATTATCTCATGGATATCAGAAAAAAAAATTAGTCTGTCTTGGAGGAAGCACAAACAGGCTGTTCTTTAGAGGTACAGATGACAAAACTTCATCTCAGATGGTTTGAGCATGCTGTTGGGAGGTGACAGTCCTTGGGAAAAGACATCATGCTGTCAAAGATGGAAGGTCAGAGAAAGAGAGGAAGACTCTAAACAAGATGGACTGACATCGTGGCCAACAATGGGCTTGAGTATATTGAAGACCATGAGGATGGTGTATGAGAGGGCAAGGTTCAGATCTGCTATTCAAAAGGCTGTGTCTCCTGAGGTTGAAGTCCACTAGCTGTTCCAAAGATAGTCTCCTCTCATTACAATTTACAGCCTCAAAAATCAAGTGATCATTACAGTGAGTTAAACTGACTTGATGGTAATGAAGATGTTTTGGTGGCTGTTTTGGGGGTTTGCCATTGTTGTTTTATGCTTGGTTTTTAATATGTTGTTCTTTTTTAATATACTAGAGATTATGTTATGGTATTCCAATGATCTTCAGGGCAATTCCTGGTGGAGAAATTCCAGCAGAGCTTTTAGACTAAGAGTAAGTAGGATGAAAGGCCCAACAGCTACTTTCAAAAGTTAGCCAGTGAGATTTTTATGGAGCACCATTTGATTTCCAAATTTTGATCATGTTACGTGTGTTGAACTCATCTGAAATGAATATTAGCACAGTGGTCCAAGCCATGAAATCAAACCTGTTGGCAACTGAGAGGATGACTCTGGAGCAGGAAATGTTTTTATTCTATTGTACCTGAGTTTGTTGAGTCAGGCTGACTCAGGAGCATTTACCTACCTTTATCTAGCATCTATCTAAACTTGAGTTACAAGGTAGAAAGGAGTTCTTTGTTTAAAACAAAGAGCATTGTGTGACAGTGGCTTTCATGTGGGTGGTTGTCCACAGTTTGGAAAAGTAAAGTCTTTTGAACTGCAGGGAACCAAGAGGAGTTCCAGCTGTCACTAGATGAAATGAGGTCTAATCTTCAGATGAAGGAATTCGTGTACCTGTGCAGTAAACTATTACATGCCTAAGTGTTTGTGTGGGGCTGGGGGTGGGGGTAGGTGGTGTTGAGAATCATTGATGCAAGTCACTAAATAGAACTTTTTTCCCCTTAAAAAGGAAACAAATCTTGTTTCTTTTTAGATACTTTATTTTCATGGTATTTGTACACAAAGATAGCAATAAATATTTATGACATAGAGAAACAACTCATAATTAACACTAACAAGGCATTGTGCCTTACAAGGAAGACAGAGAATGTCCCAGGGATATTTAGAACATTGTAGTTCTTACAGGTTTCAACATGAAAAATGTTGGTCACAAATCTCAAACTGGTTTCAATAAATAACAAATCACCTGCTAAAGAGAAAATAGTTACACACACCCACATCTCTCCATTCAAATGATGATGACCTGACTACCTTCTTAGACCTCCTAGCCTCTCTCACAGGAGCTGGCATGTTGTTGTAGGTGCCCGAGAAACATTAATGCTCACTTGGAGTGTATTTGTAACTTTTGTACCCTCATATTAAGCAGGAATCAGCTCTGAGCTGATTTGACAGAAAATAAATATAAGCAATAGTAAAGTGTATAAATAGGTTCAGCCATATCCTTAATTCTTTTCCAAGGAGCATACTTATATAGGCTCTTTGAAAATAAATAAATAAATAGAAGACTTCTTCAGAGATGTTCCAACGTAAGCCCAGTCCAGTGTCTCCAGGAGTTATTTTCTTTTTCCTTTCAATTCCTGGAAGGGTAGAGCCTGCTTCCAGCATAGTCACCAAGAAGCTTCCTCCTCAGTTGGAACTGTCACTATAATAAGGAAAATGATTATCTTCAGTTGCTGCTCAGGAAAGCTAATAATGCAGTTCTCTTCCCCTGCCCTGCCCCTAGGATCCAGAATTTTCTGACTGTAGAATTTCCTGCCCTGGGACTGTTACCAAATAGCTACTGCCTGGAACCACTCTCTTGTGTGGCGGAGATCACTTAGGCTCTAACCCACAGCAGTCAGGTCAAGTGTGACTCATGTCAGCCCTGCACCAGTTCCCACTGCTGTGATCTTTCCTGCAAGAGACTGTCCAACTTGCTCCCATGGAATAGCTGGCAGATTTGAACCGCCAACCTTTTGGTTGGCATCACTACATGCTAGCACTACTCTACTGGTTTGCTTGCTTGCTTACTGCTCTCTAGACTCTTAGATGCTCTTTATTTGGAAGGGAGGATGAAGGTTGAGATTTCTCCTGCATTATTTGTGACAAACACCTAAACTATATCATGCTCTTATTGGTACACTGGGCCTCATTTAAATCTCTGAGCAAGCTCATGAAGTAACTACTATTGTTTTTACTGTGTTGAGTCTCAAACAAATAAAATCATGTCCTAGGATCACCCAGCTTGTAGGTGATGGAACCCAGGTTGGCACCCAGGCAGTGTCACTGCAAACACCCTTCTCATTGCCACCAAGCTTAGAACCTATGAAGCTTGAACATCAAAATGTTCACTTTGCAGGTTTGAAGTGGAGAATAAAATGGAGAAGGGGCCCCAAAACTCCTTTTTTTTTTAAAACAGGTAGAAATTTGTTTGCTTGATTGTTTTGTTGTCATAAGCTTTGTCATAACTGTGTAACATTAATGATAATTTCAAGGAAAGTATTTTTATCTACATTGACTTGAAAGAGATCAGAAAGGGGATAGAAAGCAGAAATAAACTTTTGACACTTAAAGCTAATTAATAATCTCGAAAGCCAATTTAACTGTGAAATCAATAATCACAAATATTTTTCAACTCTTCAGCTGACCCCTGATTTTCTCCCCTCCCCCACTAATTTATTTACAGATTTGACCCCTGATTTTCCATAAAATAGTTTTCAGAAGTAGATGTTTTTATCTGTCATGTAAGCAACAACTCTAGGCATATGTTGTAAATAAAAACCCAGTAACTCACCTTTTCAGCATCTTCTCAATGATTCTCTTGACCATGGGGGCCACAGGGTTGAGACAAGCCTCCTGCCCATTCTTGAAAGTGGCTCTGCAGAGAGAAGGGGAGAGTGCTGTGAGAAGAGCGCTGGGGCTGGGGCAGTCAGCGAGGGGGCACCCGCGGGGGACGTGACAGGCGGTCAGTAGCAGCAGCAGCAGCAGTGAGGTGGGACTTACACGACTTCGGTGGCAGCGCAGTGGGGTCCTGGGGGCGTCACCTTCACACTGGCGATGTTCTTGAGGTGGATGCCCTGCACGGTCTGCACGCACTGGCAGCGCAACTCGGAGACCACGGGCGCCCCTGGGGGAGAAGGCGGGCTGGGTTAGCGGTCTGCTCGCCGCGGGGTCGCGCACCGGCGCCGCCCCGGGGTCGGGCCCAGACTCACCTGCGGCGCGGTGGTCGGCGGCGAGCAGGAGCAGCAGCAGCAGCAGCGCTGCGCGGAGCAGGCGGGGCGCGGGGCAGGCGGCGCGGACCATGGTGCTGGGCGGCGAGGGGCGAGTGTGCGGTGTCTGGAGCGGGCGAGGTGGCGGCTGGAGGTGGCCTGAGGTTCTGGCTCTGCGGCTCGGAGCCCCGTGAGCCCCTTTTATCCATGGCGCGCTGGAAAGCCCGCTGCTCCTGAGCCAGGGAAATTCCCAAGGCTCTTGGTTCGTTCCTTGATTCGGGAAGCAAGGAAGCTGTCCACTGGAGAGGGGTGCGGACCCAGAGGCGTCAATAGGGCGATGACACTCAAATCAGTAATTCATGCTGTCATCTCCCCCTGACCCCCACTGGACCTCCTCTGCTGTTAGACAATACAGAAATATTTGGCAATGCTTATCAATTTTCCTCATAGACTATTATGTGACAAATTTTAAGTGACATGAAGGCAATATTTCTTAGATCATGGTTACTAACAAGAAAGTAATTTGTAAAAATCATTCTAGATTTGATCTGGACCTTTATTACATTATTAGTAACTGAGTAGAAGTTTTTTTTTTTTTTAATATTCTCCTTTTTTGAATTACTACTTTATTCTTACAAAATTTCTTGATACAGGTTCACAGATAGTAAAAACCAAAATACTGCAGTTAAAGCACCAGGAAATTTGGCATAATTTGGTAAGAACAGTTGTTATGATATTAGTGCCATCGAGTCACTAGGACTCATAGTGACTCTTTGAACAACAGATCAGAACCCTGTCCTATCCAGTGCCATTCTCACACTTTCTGACACACTAGAGTCATAGAACAGTAGCAGGAAGGAAAGCAGAAGTGACACTGGTGTTGCAGGTTAAACTGTTGATTTTAAGCTCTCACTTGAATTAGATAGCAGCGATGCCTCTGACAAGAGCACATTAGAAGGTTGAAAACACAAATTTGCATTGAGTTTTAACCTTGTGTGTTGATGTATGTAAACGGAGCTCAGGAGAATAGGTCTTTATAGCTCTGGTATCCTAATGGCAAGAAGCTGTGCTGCAGTCCTGAAGTATGTAGTTCGAGTACACCAGCTGCTCCACAGAAGAGGACTAGCGGTCTCCTACCATGCAATTAACGGCCTCTGGAACCCGCTCTGGGTTGGTTCTGACTCTGTGGTACACAACAGCACTACAGAAATACTTTTATAAAGATAATACATCTTTGCTGAGACACTGTACAAATATATGTTGTAGATAATCTTTTTGGTGTTACTCTGTCTGACAGTCTCACCAGGTACAATCAACACTCCCTACTCTGCCATGGATATCACTGGATGAACCTTCCAGGTGCCCTATCTTGACTGTCTGCCCAAATCTTTTACATCAGCAGCCTCTGGGATAATCTTTCTCCCCCACACCCCCCAAACGGGAGAGAGTCCCAGGCTACACTTTTGCTAGAAGTTGTAGATGGATACCAATGTACTTGCGTACAGTGGGTGGAAATGCAAGAGGCCAGGTTGGCATGACCTACAAGGGGGACTGATTGGTATCCTGAGAGACAGAGAGTTATGTCTCTTCAGTTTATCAGAATTTTGCCATGATTGTTGGGGCCAATGGCTATTTGGTGGTGGCAGAGTCTTCAGGGAGTTGCACTGCTAATCCAAAACATTTTGAATCCACCATTGGCTCCCTAGGAGAAAGATGGTCAATCTCATGTATTGTTGTTGCTGTTATGTGTCATCAAGTTGCTTGCGACTCATAGCAACCCTATGGACAACAGCCCTAAACCCTGTTCTATCCTGTGCCAATCAATCGCACTGCCTCTGACACACCCATCCCAATTACCCCAGTCACCGAATCAATCCACCTCATAGAGGGTCTTCCCCTTCTGTGCTGCATTATGTTTTATAAAATTAATCACCAGTGGATCTTGCCCACCATTGCCTTGTCTTTTCACCTGGATCCTTCTCATTTTCTTCACCACACTCCTACCCACAAAACTGTTCAACGCTGTGGTTTCAACCCTTTCCATCCTCACCCCTCTGCTCCCACGCCTTCCCTTCTGGGGTTCTCATACATGGTTTACTAGCTATCCTTCTGCATTTACAATAATGGCTTTATGTAGTATTTACCCTTATGAGACTTAATTAGTTCATTCAGCATAATGCTCTCCAGTCTCTCCCATGTTATATAGTGTTTTTCAAAATTGTTACTCCTGAGTGCTGCTTAGTATTCTATTGCGTGAATGTACCACAATTTCTTAGTCTATTCAGTTGTGGTTGGACATTTAGGCTATTTTTCTGTGCTTACAATGGTGACTAATGCTGTTATTAACATACAAATCTCTGTGTCTCAATTCTAATGTCCTTGGGTTATATTCCTAATAGTGGAATAGATGTGAATATGACTGTATTAAACACAATGTGAATGAAGAATAGTGTCAAGTACAATGTATATGAACTTTGTAAGCAAACCAATAAAAATAGACAAAACAAAAATATATTAATAGGCTGAATGTTCATAAATTAAAGTAAAAATGTTACTCTGTACATACTTAAAAAAAATATATGGTCACTCTTCTCCTGTGTGCTTTACAATCTCCTGAAAACCTCCTGGTGAGTCAGTTATGAGTTAGTATCAAGTGACAGAAGTGAGTAAGAGTCTTATCCACTAATTTGTTACTAGTTGGGTTGTGAATTTGACTGGAGGTTCAAATCCACCAGTTACTCTGAGGAAGAATTATGGGCCACTTCTCCTATTAATATTAGCAATCTTGGAAACAGATGGAGGGTCACGTTGAGTCAGAATCAACTAGACTGCATTGCATGGATGGATGGATGGATGGATGGATGGATGGATGGATCTCCTATCTAGGCATGTTGCATTGCTAACCAAAAGTCATAGGGGCTATGGTTGATTAAATCAATCAGCAGCTCCGGAATGATGGACAATAACTTCCAATAAGATTTTAAACCTCTAAACCCTTAATGGAGGGTTGCTATAAAGCTCTGCATCAGAACTGATTCTATTGATAGTCTGATCACCACCCTCACCACACCCCTCCCAGGTACCTGATATAAGGACCCTCACTCTTTAAGTGTCAAATATATGTGTGTGAATGAAATAAGAAACACTCAATCATACATTAAAAAAAAAAAAACACAAAACCAACCCCAAAACTTTTCATTTATGGCAAGATGTCCCACTATTTTGTATTGGTTCTATAGAGACAGATAATGGTGGTTTCAAAGTCTTTTAAATAGTTACACTTACCACTTTTTCCTTAATATGTTTTCAAGGGTTTAAGTGTAGCTCGTCAGCTAGGTGTAAGACCTCTGTGAGGCATGGTGTAACTGAAGAAGAAGAAGAGGTGATAGAAATTACCTTGGGGACCAATGTCCCTGCTTGCAGCACCCAGGTGTCCAAAACCCCTACCTCTTTTCAGTTTCCACATATCACAGGCAAGTTATTAAATATCTTACCACCTTAAGCTTGTTATGATAAATGAGTCAACACTGTGGAGTCAGCACGGATTAAGTGCCTGACATGTATTGGTTAAATATGCAAAGCAGAAATAGCTTTTCACTCCTTGGCCTAAATAGAAACTCAACTTGTTATGAATCCTTTCATAAAAGGGGTATGGAAGACATGAAAGAAGTAATGTAAAGATTCACTTACCCATCCCCCCTTTAAAATTTTCTGCATTAGACTTTCTAGAAGAAGGTACATATGAACAGTACCTTTAAAACTGTCAACGTGATTTAAAGTAACAAAAGTCTGAGAAACTGTCACAGTCCAGAAGAGAGTAAGGAAAGAGGACAGATAAATACAAGGTGATACCTAGATCAGGTATTGGAACAGAAAGAGGACATTCGTGGGAAAACTACTGAAATCCGAATAAGATTTGAAAGCCAAGATAGTTGAGGGTGAAAGATGGACTCTCTCCTTCAGTGTGATTTATAGCCCTGAAAACCACTGGAGGCTCAACTATGAGTCAGTTCCAGCACTTTGGCTTTGACTTAACTCTAGTTAATGATAATGCTCAAATGTTGGTGTTAGTTTAGGTTAGTGGACTTAAAGAAGAAATCAGAGAGAACGAGAGAAAGCTTAATGCAGCTTTATTAAAGGTGGGAAAAGAGGAGCTCCCAGGTGAGTTCCTTATCCTGGAGAGGTAGAATGTGAAGTCACACTGTGAACTTACTGGGGAGGATTTTTACAAACAGAGTCTTTAGGGAGGGACATTCCACTCTGATTTACTAGCCACCTGCTAGCTTAGCCAGACAGACAAGGCCGTTTTCTCTTCTTATCAGAAGCAAGCAAGGCCATTAGCTGGTTTCTTAGTTTTGATGAAACAGCATATGAAAATGGTACAATGTTTTGCAAATTTTGTCTGTTTCTAAGTTTTCAAAAGCAAAAAGATGATTTTTAAAAGTTTTCCTTTATGAACCTATTTCCATTACCTCCAAAATCAAACCAAGAGATGTGTCTTCTGTACTCGTGTCTTCCTGAAATGGGAAACAAATTTTTGGTGAGTTTACATTTGCTCAGATGCAGATCACAATTGTCTGCCATTCCAGTTTCAGCACTTGATCAGATTTCAACATTTCACACATGTTTGGCCTTCAGCATTAATCATGCGGTGAAGGCAGTAGTCTGTGCCAGGGCCAGGGTCAGCCTCCATTCACTCTGCCCAGTTGCATGTCTGTCTGCCTTTTCCTTTTTCCTGGTGTCACACCCTGAGTTTCCTTTGAGTGCCACTGCCTCACCCACTCTGCTTTCCTTCTGTGCATGGAACACAGGTAGATTCCCCTCCTACACCCCACACACTTACTGAGCGTTTCAGAAGTAAGCTATGACCACACCAAATCAGAAACTCTGAAGTATTTGCTGAAAGGACTGGAATAGAATTCTTGGTTGTTTCTGAGATTACTAAATTGGTGAAATAAGGGCTTAACATGTTGCTAATGGCTGAAGAAAGTTTGCTTGAGAATGATCTTGGTGCGAGGACAAGCACAAGCGAGACATGACATGGAACAAATAATTGTGGACATTGTTTAGGTTCCTAGGTCCTCAGTGGCTCTG